ACTAAATTCAAGAACGTAAGGTTCAGCGAGGTTGGCGTACGCTGAGGATGATTCCGTTTTGATCATCCTCGTGTTATAGCACCTGCTTGCTGCCATACAATAGGTAAGGAGAGCTGCTTTGTTCCGTTGCTTACTAACTGGCACGCTTCACAAAGAAGAGATCTCTAACCTACTAAATAAAACACAAGCCTCTGGGCACTAAATATACCAGTATGCTGTCAAAACACAGGCAGTACTAGACAAGTGATGTTTTTTTTATTTCAAGGGGGATATGGTGAATTGATTCATCACTAAACTATGCAGCTACACAAGAGGCTGCTGTGCAGGATGTGGAAAATACCTGAACCCAAGTGAGTCACCTTGTGCAGACCATGTAGCGGCAACTCAACGATGGGTTTGGATTATTAAGTTTTCATTTTAACATGAACTCTGAATGAAGGCTACATTCATCATCTATCATAAATAAGTGTCCCACCAGGCACCTGTCACTGAGTGGCTCATAATAAAGACGATTCAAGTGCATATTATTCAACAAACCAATGAGTGTCATTGGTTTGTTGAAGTTTTTGAGAAGACACTTTAAGTGTTGGTAAGAAACTAACAGGTGTCTATATGGTGTTACTTTGCTCTGGCACAGGGACAAATAGTTGCTTTTGGAACATTCTCACAACCTCATCCACCATCGCCATGTTTATTGTTGTCAGAAACTCTTGCCTCCACTTCCACCAACTTTTCTTACATTGATCAACATACAAACACATGGTCACCGACCCTTATAGATCATTCTGCAAAAGTACAATTTAACCCCAACACCCATATTTGGCTCCTGTGAGCCTTCAGTATCACTCACTGTTTAACACATGTCATGTTTGAACAGCCTCCTACTCTGACAGTGAACGTGTATATCATGTCTGGCTGAGTCATGCAAGAGCCTAGAAACTGAAATATGAGTGAAAACAGCCAAAGATTCCACAGGTTCAGGTCGGTGGGGAAGAATACATGAAGTCAAACTTCAGACCTAACTGTAGCTTCTCAGTGACTGACAGTGTTGTGTTTTACTAATGAGAGCTGAGTTACTGTGTCACTGTGGGAATGTAAAGTAGCACTTTCTCTGCATAAATGTTAAAAAGCTGCTGCCAAATCTATGATGACCACATGCTTTTCATCACTCTCTTCCCCCGAAGCCCAACCCTTCCCCGGTGCAACTATATTTAGATCCAGGGCTCAGAATACAGTGGCCAAGTAATCACCCTCATCCTGTGTGAGTGATGAACTGCTCCCAGCCTCCCTCCAGGGCTCTATGGGGGGCTGAGGAGCCTCTGCCAAGCACTACAGTGGTCTGTATCAGCGTCACTCAGTGTCAGCAACCAGAAGCTCTCACACACATAAACACGCACAGGACCACCGATCTGTGAATGAAATGATGTGAAATATGTATCCATACACAAACACACTTCACACCGATTAGACTGAAAATCAAGCACATTTACTGAAATATCAAAGTAAACGTTGGACATTCCTTTCCTTGAAATTGCTGGAAAATCTTTTATGATTTATAAAAGGCTTGATTTACAGTCTGTATGTGATCCAGGTTTATCTCAACTCAAATTTTTTGTTATCACAAAGTATTCATTAGATATTTTCCCAGGAAATTATATTTCATGTTTTTCCCCAAATCAGAGAGTAAGGATAAGGGATTTTGTAATTTATAAGTGGCAAAGATAGCATACTTCATACTTCCTATTATTCTGATGTCCACATATGTATTTGGTTTATACATCGTCATTGCTCTAAATTTGCCAAGTCTGTCACACTTTGAGTCATGTATTTTATATTATATATATATATTATACAGGTTAGAATATTGGGTGCACTTCGGATTTAGGACAGATAGCTTTACTGCAGTGTCTCTGGATATAAAGGCTGGTCTGCTGTTATGGTTCTCTGTATTAAAAAGCTGGTAACAAATTAACCAAAATGTGGGGACTCACATTTCAAAAAGCTTAGTGTTGTAAAATGCCTCAATACATAAACACGCATATATTTTCACTCTCTCTCTCTGTGGTCCCTCCCTGCTCCAACCAAAGATCTCAGTCAACCCAAACTTGGTTACCATGGTAAAAGTCCCCTCCTCTTTCTTCCTCTCTCTCTCTTCATCTCCAATCTATTTTAATTAAAGCGTGAGAGATGCCAAAGGCCAGTCAGCCAGTCTGGTCATTGCCGTGTCGACTCCGTCCTGTCATGTTTGCTCTGACTCACACAGACATTTCCCGTCCATCATTCCTGTATGTATGTGTACAGCGTTTCCCTTTGTTTACTTTCTTCTGCTCTATGAGTCATTCATTTTTGACTCCACCCTCCAAAGATAAAAATAGACATCTATTAGATGATACCTCAATGAAAGCAATATATCACCTGACAGCGTTGTTTCCCATAAAGTATCCGACATTGCCTGTTTAGATTGATTTTGTAGTTTACTGTCCACTTGTGGGGGCAACAGGCTGTCGTCTCGAGAACTAGCTTTACTACCAGATGATGCATCTGTCATTTCTGTCAGAACGAGGCCTCTGTCTCTGTTTTCAGCAGAGGGATGAACAGCTAGTTTTGGACTATTGGAGGACATTGAGGATAGAACCTTATATATCTGACAGGAGTCACCGCAACAGTTCTTTGAAAAATTGTTTTCAGACGTGACCTGAAAACAGAGAAGTGGCTACGGAGTTTACCCATATTTTGCATTTTACACATGCACAACACAGCAGAAGGTTTTTTGCACAACAGCAACAAATCCTCTGCATTATTCAGGCAAGAGGTGGAGCTGCTAGGTGCAACAGAGACAGGAAGTGACGTATTAACTATGCTGCGTAGATCACGTGATTTTGTTTACAGAACCCCAACACCACAAACTCTCCTGACATTGTTTTTCCCCGCTTCCTTGCAGTGACTCTAGCGGTTATTCCCTGCTGTGTTCACACGTTCACATGATTTCTCCTGTATTTCTACGAGCTTTATATTAGGAGGTCAGGCACAGGTAAAATCTGCTGCTGAGCGTCTCACTCGGACATTTGCGTTCACGCTTGCACCTCCTCTGGATAAAGTACAGAGGAACTACGGAGTTCAGTGCATGTCTGAAAGCAGATTAATTGTGGAGAGGTATTATCTATTTATTATCTCTGTGTAACCAGTGCAGTAAGTTTGAGACAGCATACTGTTACACAAGCTGGAGCTGGAGCAGAGGGTTAGAAGTTATCAGTCCAGCTATAATCTAGCAGTGCAGTGTATATAAAATGTTCAGACTGTTTATCTGTACTACTCCTCAGGAGCCAGTACGACAAGAAACCCAGTGCATTACCATAATTTGAAAAGAAAATTAAATGTCAGAAACTTTCTAACAACATGCCATCCCCTCCCCCACATCCCTGGAGGTCAGTTTGGAGGAATCAGATAGACCACTCATCTGTCACATCACATTCTTTACGCAGGCGAATCACTGCTAATTAATGTGAAGAGAGCAAATGGGAAACATTTGACCTCCTCCAGCTCAAAAATAGTCCCACAATCCTTTGGGTTGACAGAACTGTGCAACGGGATGTCCCGATTTCCAGCACATAAATGTGTGTGATAATTACTGTAGTGCAGAGGCTAATTGGGCCAATGCATATTAATTCATTAAAACGTCTCCCTTCTGGTCTCTTCTTCAAATCTGGGCCTCATCTGTTGGAAGGGAATCTGTCCTGGCAGATTCCTGAGAGACACAAAGGTATTATTCTCAGGTCATATCCAGAGATATCAAGATCTGTCTGAGCAGTTAGATATTCAAAGCCACCCTCTGTGTTTTCGAGGGTGCTTGAAATAGAAATCCTAAAAACACATTTTAATCCAAAAACTGGAGATGAGATTTCACATCTTTTATGACACTTTACTCTTCTTTCACTTCCTTCCTGCAAGTAAGACTTCAAAGACAACTGCTGTTCACATGAGAAAAAAGTCCTTTAGCTTTGTCATGATCAGTGGATGTGTGTGTGCATGTGTGTAAGAGAAACAACTAGTGACGCCTGGACTGAGAATGGTTGCCAAAGGATACTGCTTAGTATTGACTTCTGGCAAAGACTGAGATCCTCTGGTTGTGTGTGTGTGTGTGTGTGTG